TTACAAACACAGAAATAATCAAAAATCATGCACACGAATCTTTTAACAGAGCAATAACTCATAAATTCTGGAAAGAACATATCAGTTCCAATAAACAAAATAGGTTGAGTAAAACTTTTAGGAACACAGAGAAATTAGACGGAAAATAATCCAAAAAGAAAACCTAATTTGAAAACACTTAAAGAAGGAAGACAACCATGGAAAACTTGAAAGCACGTCAACACACAGAGATTCGAACAACAGAAATCATAGAAATTGAAACCTGAAGTAGCGGTGTTTAAAACTGGTTAGTAGTAGAGAAGTACAAAAACCTAAAAGAATAGCCATGGAAGTTTGAAAATACTTCAGATACCCAGAGGTTCGACCGACAAACAATAAGAAAAACAAACCCTAATATAACAAAAATGTTCAAAAATCGATTAATCGGTAAAAACAATAAAGGAGCCTTAAGGAAAAAGCAATGATGAACTCAAATCGCTCCAGATCTACAAGGATCTGGACGGATTCAAGTCCAAATGCTAAGTTTTGAAGAAAAGAGAAAGGGTAAAGGGAATCTGGCCTTTGAATCAAAGATTTGAGCCATGAAACTTCGATAGAAATCACTCACAGACCATACACATACTCTTGAAGAGTTTTAAATGAGATCTGGACTAGATCTCTTCGAGGTCCTTCCACAAAACCACACAATCGAGCAACTAGGGTAAATAGGAGACAAGTAGAGGCCTCTTAAAGCCATGGGAAGCCATAGATCGAGTAGGAATTGAAGGGACTAGGGATGGTTTTGGGTGGCAGCGATTAGGGTTAGGAGTTGGCCTCAGAGAGAACCGGAGAGGAGGGGATTCGAGGGCAGCTGTATGGAGGAAATGATTTAAGGTTAGGGGTCATTAGGAATAAAAAAGGAAAGTCTTAATGTGGACCGTTGATCTAAAGGATCAACAACCATGATTTGATGGGGTTTTGGGTCGGGTAGGTGTCTCCAGGTTTGGGCTGGGTGGTTTTTGGGCCTGGTTTAATTGATTTGGGATTGTGGGGGGGGTCAAAATTGGGCTGATTTAATAGGTTAAATCCGAAAATAAGAAGGTCATTTATTAAATATCCATTTATTTGTTAATTGTTTTTTAAAAATAACTAATAGGTTGTAAAAAATGATTTTCATGCCTGAAAATATTTTAAAATAATTACTTAATATTTAAAAAATATAAAAGGCCATTTTCTGGTAAAATAATGTAATAATGCATGCATAAGCTATAATTGCAAAGTAATTGCAATTGCGTCCTAAAAATACAAACTTGGCTATTTTTGCAATAATTGAAACTTAGTACAAATGCAAATGATAAAATTAAGCTACAAGAATTATTATAAAACTATTTGTGATGCATTCAGTGACTGTTTTATAAATAAAATGCTGGGAGAAATTAATTAAAATATTTTTAAAATGCAGAAATTGTATAAAAAATACTAATTGATGCCTAGGCATAGTTTTGAAAATATTATGGGGAAAATTGGGTATCACCAATAGGTATGTGTTCTTGAACTCAATTCCTTCACTTTCCATCAACACCCATTAGATTTCTAGGCCAGAATCTTGTTCTTCAATGGTAGAATTAGGGATTTTGGGTAGAATTAGTGTTTTTTGAATAATTGGAATTTAGACCTCGTTTTGGGGTCGAATTTCGAAAATAATTACATATCGGGCTCATGGGAAAATGGGTGATCGGGTTTTGGTCCAAACCTCGAGTTTTGAACAAGCGGGACCGGGGTCGATTTTTGACTTTTTGATAAAATGATAGAAGATCTATAATTAAGCATTGGGTATAAATTATTTAGCATTTATTGATGTTGTTAAATTAATTTGGGCTAGATACAAGTAAATTGGAGGCGAATTCTAAAGGAAAAGCGGTGTTTGAGGCTTGAGTTGGCCGTGGAAGTTCGAGGTAAGTGTTTGGTGTAACCTTAGCTTGAGGGAATATGTACTGTGCTTTATTTGCTATATGCTAGTGTAGTGTACGATGTATAGGTGTAGTGATGAGTATCTATACGTTGGTGTCAAGCATGCCCGTGAGTCTTAAATTGTGATCGTTGTGTTTTCTTAATAACTACTACAATTGCCTAAATTGTTGATTATCCATGTTGAGCAAGACGTATGATTATCTTCTTGGTATTGGTTTATTATTGAGAATTGGCTCCAGTTGAGGTTCAATTGTGAAGTTAGTTGTTGGTACAAGTTCGGTTATAGCTGATTCTCTTGCCGGGACATATTTATTTCTTACTGTTGATTCCCTTGTCGGGATGTGTTTATTCTTGTTGTTTATTCCCTTGCCGGGATGTTATTGTTGCTATTGTTTGGGTGAGGAAAGAGAGATAAAGCACAAAGGGTGATGTCGTGCACATTCATATTTATGCATATGGTGAGGAAGAGTGATAAAGCACAAAGGGTGATGCGGTGTACATTTTTATTGACATTGATGCATATGGTGAGGAAGCGAGATAAAGCACGAAGGGTGATACCGTGAACATTTCTAATATTTACATGGTGAGGAAGAGAGATAAAGCACGAAGGGTGATGTCGTGCACATTTTCATTACTTGATTGCATTGGTGGGGATTGAGAGTAAAAGCATGAAAGGTGATGTCGTGCACTTATTGCCTGTTTATTATGATTTTTTGCTTCTTTCGGTTCAATTACCTTAATTGTCTTATTCTACTATTACTGTGATTTTTTACGTTGGTATTTTCCCCATAGCATGTTACCCCTCCCCTGTTACCTTTGAATTATTTCTATTACTGTTATTCTGCTAGATACTGTTTAACTGCAGGTTATTTATTTGTTGTGTCCTAGCCTCGTCACTACTTCGCCGAGATTAGGCTCGACACTTACCTAGTACATGGGGTCGGTTGTACTGATACTATACTCTACACTCTTTTATGCAGATCCCGATACTGGAGCATACAGACCTTAGCTAGGGGTTGCTGCCTTCAGTCCATCGGAGACCCGAGGTAGTCCTGCAAGCATCTGTAGGCCTTGGCATCCCCTTCTTATCTAGTTTCTTTCTGTTTATTTATATTTCAGAGAGAGACATGTATTTATTTTGTTCTGACCATATTTGTAGTGTTCTTAGATAGTCCGTGAGATTGTAACACCAATTCAGGGCGGTTTATATTTATGGGTTCGTATTGGTATTAGATTAATTATTAAATGTCGTTCTTCCGCATAATTATTTCCGTTGTTTATAATATGTTAGCTCTCAATTGTTAAGAAGTTAAAAATAAAAATGGCAAATTAATCGGAATAGTTGGTCTGCCTAACTTTCACTAGTAGCCGCCATCACTACTCCCAAGGGTGAGAACTTCGCGTCGTGACAAAAATACTTCAAATCAACTTGGATCAACTGTAACTATTGTGAATGTCAACAATTTGCCTGGACTCAACACTATGGGCATTTCGTTAGCTTGTATCGATTATGCACCATATGGTCTCAACCCACTTCATATACACCCCCGAGGAACTGAGCTTATTACTTGTCTTGAGGGAAAACTCTACGTTGGTTTTGTCCTTTCAAACCCTGGTCCAAATCCGGAGATGTGTTTGTTTTCCCAATAGGTATGATTCATTTTCAGTTGAACGTGGGAAAGACTAAAGTTGTTGCAATGTCTGGACTCAGTAGTCAAGATGCAGGAGTCATCACTATAGCAAATGCAGTTTTTGGCTCAGATCCACCAATCAATCCTTATGTTCTCACCAAAGCATTCCAAGTTGAAACGAAAGTCGTAGATTATCTTCAATCACAATTCTGGTGGGATAACAACTAAAATATTATATCAAAAATATATTGATCCAAAAATAATTATGGTTCTCTAAACTGCTTGTATCACATAAATAAGTAGCCAACGACATGTTTTCCTCTCCATTTGAGTATGATGTATTGGATGAGGATATAACATGGCTTATTATGAAATAAAAATAAGTTTATTGTTTGTGATATTTCATCCCTCTTTTTGGGACAAGCTTTGTAGAATATTACCATCCATTTTAATTCTATGCATAAAGAAAGCTACTTTATTTCTCAAAATCCGTGTAGGTTTATTGCTTAAGTTGTACGTATATATTGATATTGCAATTTTTTTACACAATCAGATCATTTAGAAAGTAATTACATGTATATCTCTATATGATAAATAATAACTTGTAACTTAGTAAAAGATGTAATCAACTATAACATGTTAGATCATCATCATGATAGTGTTAAAAATAAATAAACTCTTCGTATATATATAATTTTAATCCAAAAGGAGTTATAGCTGTTGGAGTTACTTGATGATTGGACTGGGCCAACACAAGAGCTGGAGCTGGAACGATTGGACCTAGCCCTTATTTATTTTGTAACAGCTTTCATTTTTCCTTTTTTACACTGTACAAGCCCAGAATATAAATAGGGGCTAATTAACATTCTAGAGCATTCTTTCATTTTCGTTTTTGTAAAGATAACAGAAACTTCTTCTCTAAAAACGATTTTTCCACTTTCTTCTTTCTCATGAACCCTAATTGAAAATCTGTACTCTCATGCTGATTTCTGATTCTAACATGGTATCAAAGCGGGTAATCTGGTAGTCCTCGACGTTTTGCATCGACCGATGCTACCCTCATCAAATTTCATCGGATATATCTTCATCGCTTTGATTTTCGCTGAGATTCAGAATCTGTGATTTTTTGTTGATTTTTTGTTCAATTTACGAGTTAAGGAAGTCCTACTAAACTGTGTCATTCTATTTTGATCAGAATTTGCTGTTGATTATCAGAGTTTTGTACTCTTCATTAAAGCTAGATTTTTTGGTGATTAACGGAGTTTTGTTGGTCTTTGCTAAGGCTGAAATTCTCTTTTCAAGCTGAAGTTTCTCAAGGCCTTTCTTCTTCAGGTTGTGAAGAAGTGTGATACAATCATTTCTATTTGTTCTCTTGTATGAATTCATTGTTGTGAAATTTTGTTGATGTATTCTGTTATCATGGTTAATTCCACTCCAGACTCAAGTTCTTCCTCCTCTCCTTATACTCGTGAACCTTCAAGTCCGCTATTTCTCCTTCCTTCTAATGTACCGGGGGTGTCTTTAGTTGTTGTGCCTTTTTCTGGGACTAGTTTTGGGGGTTGGAGGAGGAGTATGATTGTGTCTTTGTCCACTAGAAATAAAATAGGTTTTATCAATGGGTCTTGCTCCAAGCTTGTTGTGGATTCTCCCCAGTACAGACAGTGGGACAGGTGCAATAATATGGTCATATCCTGGTTAGTCAATTCCCTTTCTCCAGATATAGCTGAAAGTGTACAATATTCTGAAACTGCTGAAAGCATATGGAAACAATTGAATTATAGGTATGGGACTATTAATGGAACTAAGGTGTTTGAAATAAAGAGAGAACTTGCATCTATTTATCAAGGGACTCTCGACATAGCTTCCTATTTCAACAAACTTAAAAAACTCTTGGATGAATTGGGGGTTATGTGTACCAGCCATACAAATTCTTGTGTTTGTGCTTCTAAGGAGGGACTCCAGAAGGAGAAAGAAGAGGACAGGGTTCACCAGTTCCTCATGAGTCTTAATGAGGTTTATGTGGGGGTAAGAAGCAACATCTTAATGATGCAACCATTGCCATCCCTTGATACTGTCTACAACATTTTGTTGCAAGATGAAAAATAGAGACCGGTTGTCCCATGCTCAACTTAATCCAAAATCAACCTCTTTAAATGCAAATTCCAACATTAACACATTCCCTTCTCAACTCTCATCTACAAAACAATATACACAAAGGGTGAACTTTGATTCAAGCAACCAAAACTTCAATGCTACTTTGTCTTGCAAGTATTGCAAGAAACCTGGTCATACAATTGAGAAATGCTACAAATTACATGGCTTTCCACCAAATTTTAAATTCACAAAGGGTAAGAAGTTTGTTACTACTGCAAGTGCTGAGGGGTAGACTTCTGAACCTTCTGCAATGTATTCTCCTACTGATCAAAGCTCTTTGATACATGGTCTCACCAAAGAGCAGTACTCCCAGTTGATGCAAATGCTCAATCAGTCTACATTGGGTGACTAAGGGTCCCAACCTATTCTAATGGGATCTGCCAATTTTGCTGGTAGTACTTCTTCTCTTCCTGTGTGTTTAAATGGTAGTTCTACTGTGCACATGTTGACTAGTATAGCTGGAAGGGTTTGGATAGTAGATTCATGGGAAACTGACCACATGACTTCAAATAAGGACCTCCTTTTTAATATTACACCTTTTCCTGTTCCTTACTTAGTTTCTTTACCTAATGGTTATAAAGTTAAGGTAACTTGTACTGGTTCCCTTACTTTGTTACCATCTTTCACTCTACACAATGTTTTGTATATTCCATCTTTTAATTATAATATCATTTATGTGAGCAAGGTAATAGCACAATTCAATTGTTATGTTCTATTCACATCTATTTCTTGCTTAATTTTACATGCACATTCTATGAAGAAGCTTCTGGAGCTTGGTAGAATGGATCAAGGATTATACAAATTTCACCTCAACCAATCTGCTCCTCCAACAACCTCATCTCCTAATAACTCTGTTTCTCCTTTTACTAATTAAGCAAATAATGCTGAATTTGTTTTGCAAGGAAATGTTCAAAATGTGAACCACAATTCTGTTCATGTTTTACCTTGTGCTACTGTTCAAAATATGCAAATTGAGAACTCAGGTTATGTTTCTACTTTGCCTTCTTGTACTATTCCAAATAATGTGAATAAAAATGATGTTCTTTGGCATAATAGATTGGGGCATGTTCCTTTTGTTAAAATGAAGCATATACCTTCTATCTCTAATGATTTGTCTGCGAAACAGCCCTTTATTTGTCATGTTTATCCTTTAGCTAGACAACCTAGGTTATCATTCCCAGATATTTCTTCCCATTCCACCTCATTATTCCAACTTATTCATGTTGACACTTGGAGACGATACCACACCCAAACTTACTCTGGAGCAAAATATGTTTTGACAATAGTTGATGACTATAACAGAGTAATATGGACACATATTTTACACTCCAAGAGCTATGCATTTACTTTACTTAAAGCATTTGTAACCATGGTCAAGACACAGTTTCACCTTTCTATCCAAAAGGTTAGGAGTGATAATGTCTTGGAGCTTGGTTCCTCCAATTCAGCCATTCAATTTTTGTTTGATAATGGTATCATACATCAAACAACTTGCCCACACATACCACAACAGAATGGTGTGGTAGATAGAAAATATAGACACCTACTAGAAACTTCAAGATCTTTGTTGTTTCAATCCAATCTTCCTACCAAGTTCTGGGGAGATTGTGTTTTAACAGCAACCTATCTTATTAATAAATTTCCCTCTAAAGTTTTGTCTAATAAGACTTCGTTTGAATTACTTTATTGGGTTGCTCGCTCTTATTCTCATTTAAAACCTTTTGGGTGCCTCTGCTATGCTAGTGTTCTCAAGTATTATAGAGATAAGTTCCAACCTAAAGCATCTCCTTGTGTGTTCATTGGCTATCCCTTTGCTAAAAAAAGGTATAAAATTTACAGTCCCACCACTAAGTCTATTCTCTACTCTAGGGATGTCATCTTTCATGAATGTGTTTTTCCTTATACTTTGCCATCTTCTGCTCTTTCTCATCTTCCTCCTTCAATGCCTATTCTTTATGATTCTAATGCTGATGTTGTTACTGTTTCTTCTATCCTTACAGATCTCCCTCTCCATGCTTCTCCAATACCTGACACTCATGATGTTCCCAACTCTGTTCACAATACTAATGTTCCTACTCCCATTCATCCTACTGTTCCTGTTGAATCAGTAGTTTTTCCTGGTCATGCAGTCAGAAAAAGTTCCTGAACCCATCAGCTCCCTTCTCACTTGAAGCATTATGTGGTCCAACTCCCTTCTGCTTCTTGTTCTTCCTCTTCACTCATGTCTACTATAGTAGAACCCCATTCTTACACTCAGGATGCTGCTATTCCTGCTTGTTAAGAGGCCATGAAGAAAGAATTTGAGGCCCTTGATGCAAACCAAACTTGGAAAATTGTTGAACTACCTGCTGGAAAAAAGCCTATGGGATGCAAGTGGGTGTATAAAATTAAATACAAAGCTAATGGTAGTGTGGAGAGATATAAGGCTAGATTGGTGGTTAGAGGTGATACTCAGATGGAAGGCATTGATTTTAATGGATCTTTCTCTCCCATTGTTAAAATGTGTACTATTAGATGTGTGATTGTTGTAGCTGTCAAAAAACAGTGGCCCTTGTTTCAGTTGGATGTTAATAATGCATTTTTGCATGGGGATCTGGATGAAGAGGTTTATATGAAACTTCCTCAAGGTTTTTCTATTACTTCTACATCTTCTGCTTCTTCTATTTCTTCTAAGTCTCCTACTTTGGTTTGCATATTGCAAAAGTCTCTTTATGGTATGAGACAGGCTTCTAGACAATGGTACGCGAAGCTATATCATGCACTCTACTCTAGGGGGTATAATCACTCATTGAATGAATACTCTTTGTTCGTTAAGAAAACTGACTCTTTTACTACCCTTATCGCTGTTTATGTAGATGACATCATTGTCACTGGGGATGACTTGAAAGAAATTTCTGCTCTTAAAGCTTTCTTGGATGCTCAGTTCAAAATTAAGGACTTGGGGTTGCTTAACTATTTCTTGGGTATTGAGGTTTGTTATCTTCAATCAGGTATCCTTTTGTTTCAAAAGAAATTTATCTCTGATTTGCTATCAGAATACAAGTGTACTGATGTTTCTCCTGTTGTTAGTCCTTTGGACATGAGCCAAAAGTTACACTATGATGTTGAGGACCTACTGCCTCATCCTGAAAGTTATAGGAGCCTAGTTGGTAAACTAAACTTTTTGACTCATACAAGACCAGATTTATGTTTTGTTGTCCAACATTTGAGTCAATTTTTACAGAGACCTAGAATTACACATATGACTGCAGCTTTACATGTCTTGAGATACTTAAAGGGCACTTCTGATTTTGGGGTCTTGTTGAATAATTCTGCTGATTTGTCTTTGATGGCCAGTTGTGATAAGGATTGGGTAGCTTGCCCCAAGTCTAGGAGCTTAGTTTTTGGTTTTTGCATTTAATTGGGTGGTAGCCTCATTAGTTGGAAGTCTAAAAAGCAGCATATTGTTTCCTTTTCATCAGCTGAGGCTGAATATAGAGCTATGAGTAAAGTGGTAGCTGAGTTAGTCTGGTTATTCGCCTGTTATCTGATTTGGGTCTTTATGTTGTTCTCCCAGGTCCTATCTTGTGCGACAACCAGGCTGCTATTCATATCGCCAAGAACCCAGTGTTCCATGAACGTACCAAGCACATCGAAGTCGACTGCCATTTTATTCGAACAAAGTTGGAAGATGGTCTTATCACCACCCATGTTTCTACTAGCTCCTAACTAGCTGACATCTTTACTAAGCCTTTGACATGTCTACACTATTGCTCATTGATTGGCAAGTTGGGTGTGTGTCCACCCTCCAACTTGAGGGGGATGTTGGAGTTACCTGATGATTAGACTGGGCCAACACAAGAGCTGGAGCTGGAACGATTGGACCTAGCCCGTATTTATTTTGTAACAGCTTTTACTTTTTCCTTTTCATACACTATACAAGCCCACTATATAAATAGGGGCTAATTAACATTCTAGAGCATTCTTTTATTTTCATTTTTGTAAAGATAACAAAACACTTCTTCTCTAAAAACGATTTTTTCCCTTTCTTCTTTCTCATGAACCATAATTGAAAAGCTATACTCTCATGTTGATTTTTGATTCTAACAATAGCAAGTGAAACACAATATATAGATGTCAGATGTTCTTTTTTCTTTTCCGAATGGCTTAGCGCTCTCGGATGGGTTCGTAAATAGCCTACTATTAGATGGGTAGAATGGTTATTTAGGGTGAAATTAAAAAATATCAAGATTTATAATTAGTAATTGAAAAATAGCCATAATTTTAAAAGTAATCAAAATTTTGCCACTTTTCATGTAAAGATAAATCTGAAAGAAACTATTGTTCAAAATACGGAAAATATTCTAGCATAATATACTGAAGTACGAATTTTTTACATGTGAACTTCCAGCATAATATACTGGAGTTCCAGCATAATATACTGGAAGTTGATACACATGTGCTCCAATATCCAGTATATTATGCTGAAACTTTTCGTGTGTTGGTGTTCCAACATAATATGCTGGAAATTCATGTACAGGTGCACCAATCTCTAGTATATTATACTGGAACTTTTTGTGTTGCAGCAAAATAATTGCTATTTTTGAATGACTTTGCAAACGCTGGCTACTTTTCAATTACCAGTCCGAAAATTGGCTAGCCCGTGCTATTTTCATGGTTATTTGCTCATGAAGAATGAGTTTGGGCCATTGATTTAGCGTATTTGTCATATTTCCTAACGGGCCAAATTATTCGGTTTCTATATGGGCGACCTCTTGTTTTTGAATTTTTTACACAAATAGCCAGCTGGATTCACTATCAGGGAAATTGGGTAGTGGAATGAATTTGACTATCAGGGAAAGGGAACCTTTGCTGCCTTGGCATTGGGCATATTGAACAAATAAAAGATTGCTTAGGAGAAACTTTATCAGATATGAAAGGAATAGACTTCATTCTATGAAAAGGCATATGAT